AATTGTTGCGTTTAATTGAATAATACGAATATTGATCAAACATCTTAACTAAACAATTTGTTGGTTTAAATTTTATTGATGTTTCCGTTATTTCGTCGAACAGAAGCAAAACAAGAGCCATTATCGTGCTTAATTGTTTATTGTTTCTCTACTTTGTTCTAATTGTGTAAATCGGAGAATTGACCCGAATAAAATTAGAGTCCTGAATTGTCAATTGTTTCTTTATTTGACAGCATAATTCACTGACATTGTCAAAAATTGTAGGATTCGGGTATTCAAAAACAAAGTTGAAATTGCAGAAATAATTTTTCTATCAATTTTTGTTTTGATTTTTATCAACTAATAGTCTGCGAGATTGAAAAGTTCTCCTGTTTATGGCTTTGGTCGTCCATGACTTGTGGCAAAGCAAATTCGGTTCATCATTTTGATATCCTAGTCATTTATGATCAAATTTGACAAGTTGTTTCAAAGTTTTATTTGACACTTGTGTTTGGCTTTGACAAATAAAACTCACAATTAAGTACATTGCTAGCGGCAGCTTTACAATCGTCGAAAGGTCAAAAGAATCAGATCTAGAATTTCGGAGGCGATATCGGGAATCGAAACAATTTTCGCTGATAAACTATAGGCTGGCTGTAGTTTTGCTTATCTTTCGTTTGGATTTTGTTATTTGTAATTGTTGGTAATTTTGGAAATTTTGGCTGACAGTAAACACAAGAAGTCACTACCAAAGTTCTTAATGATGAAGCGCAGCAGAAGTCTTCCAAGATCGTAAGTTAAAATCTTCAAATTGTATCAAACTAAATGTACTGCAGCAGATACAGTAAGGTTTTTCGTCATATTTTAATTTATTGTTGATTGGAATGAATTATTGGGAAAATGATTTGTAAAATTAGCTCCAAATCCGATTTTTTAGCTTAAATTTGATGTTAAGAAATCCTACTCTAGATTCTTTGAAAGTGGGACATTTTTTTAAAATAGATTTTCAATTAATCGCCGGCCAAAAATATCTGATAAACGTAAATGTTCACACCAAATTTTGTCGACATCGAGATTCCTTTTTTCACTTCTTTTTGGAATCCGACTAGCGATTGAAAAAGCCCTAATTTGTTACATAATTGGACTCCATCTAGTTTTTATTTGCGGCACCTGATTTTGTATAAAAAAGGCATCCTTTGCAAAAAGTCGAGTCGAGTCGTAATTTTTTAATGATATAATTTTTATGAAATGATAGTTTTTTGTCCTACCACTGAAAATGGGGAGCAATTATATCTTGGTATTTTTTTCAGTTTTTTTCCTCGTTTAATCAAAAACCACAATTAATTATTAGAGTAGTTTGACTGATATATCATATTGAAACCCTTTCAGTCGTGATTTGAATCGAGTCAAGACTTTGGGCGCATTTAGTAATGCGCATGAGGCTAAGGCATTAGTGTACAGAAGGTCGAAATCCGATTCACCGTATCGTATAAATTTTTGATTCGAGGCATCGTTTTTTTTCGTACATGCATTGGGAAATGTTTCCAGTTCAAATGAATTAGAAAAAGTTACAGTTTTACCCTATAAAGGAAGTATCGGGAAGACACGAATGATTGCGCTTGCCATTTCTGTAGATAGTACGAAAGATTTCGTTTTATTAATAACAGCATTCCCGTTGAGACACTGCTTATCTTAGATTTTGCAAAAATTTTGATAATATTTTGCAGATTCTTTAATATCAATCAAAACTACAACTTGTGACTTGCTTTGTTTTCAGTGTTAGGATCTCTTTTGTTTTTGTTCCGACCACCGATAGTGAGGAGGGACTTTGTTTCGGGTGTGTTTTAGTTTTTTTTTCTTTTTTAGTGTTTGTCTCCCAAAATCAGGTACTATAAATAATCATCGGAATAGGTCCAGTGACATATCGTACTAAAGCCCTTTTGATCGTTGTTAAAAATTTGAAGATTTTCAAAAAGTAATCCCATTGTTAAGAAAAAATGGTTAGAATTTTTACTTAAAGTTTTATTTTAGTTACAAGCAATTAATGCGAGCCTGCTGGCGTATAATAGAAGGATAAGCTTTGAATGTTAACTCCTGAAAGTTAAACTTATCTCAGTTAAAAGTAATTTTTAATTTTATAGGGTAATTTTGAGAATAAAAAACTTGAAAAATTCAAAAATTTATTGCAAAAAAATTAAAAACATCTAGAAATTTTTTTAATGTTTTTTGATTTGGTTTTCAGGCGTTTTTATTACTAGGCGTTTTCCAATTTGCTAAGTTTTCTAAGTTTCAGACTAAGTGTAGCTTTTTAAGTAAATTATCGGAGCAATCAACTATCCTCGTTTAAATTCTCAATTGTGAGTTCTCCTTCTTGCAATTTTAATTCAATTAGGGGCGGCTTTTGTAATTTCTCTCGGGGGAGGTTTTTCAAAAACTTGTCGTCGAACATTTTTTTGACTGTTTTTTAGGTCGAGCTAATTGATTTCACGAGCTCTTAAAGCACTAGACCCAGTTTTGGCCAATTTTTCCGTGCCGGAGGCAAAATTTAAACAGACAGAACAGAAAATGAATTTAGGCTTTTTTGAAATTTTTTGCGGCGCGATTTCCCTCAAAGTTAGTAATAACTGGGGCCAAAGGCGCCTTAAGAAAAATTTTAGGGTCCGTCAGCAAAGCATGGGCAGCTAAAAATACTACGGATACCCTTTGATTCGGCATGGGGTGGAATCCCGGAATCCCCCCTAAATCATCTACTGAATCTAATGTAGACTGCTTTTGAAAAAATTGAGCAAAAAATGATAAAGAAATCGATTTTTTTTCGGTTTTTTTTTCTTTGTAGATAAGATTGGCACTCTTTTCGCGATGATACAATTATAATAGACAGTGACTCACTAATATATCTGTAGAAAGTTTTTTCTTAACTTTGATAGAATATATTTTTTCTTTGACTGTCATAATCAATTTTTTGCTCGCATGTTTCGAAGTGCAACTTCGGCTCTGTGTTAAGGTATAACAAAAAGTCAATTTAGTTTTCCTCTGTCTTTGGGTGGATATCTGCAACAGATCGCTTTCTATCACCCTTCTACTACCCCCAATAGTTTTGAGTTTTATTACGCATCATAAAGTACCCTTCGACAATATAATGTTCATGTCTTCGATCAAAAAGTTTTGACTTATAATACGTTGAACAATCTATGAAACTAAAAAAAAAAATAATCGCATTACCTAACGCAAATTAAGCTCTAACAGCAAATGGTTTAAATGATTCATCAATCTCGTGAAATGTTTTCAAATTACTTCTCGTTGAGCTTTAAGTGGTTTTTGAATAGCGTGAACTTTTTTTTTGTTTGTTCAACAAATCATTTTTTGCAGTATTGAGAGAAAAATTATACTTGTCAATTAATTAATTTTGTATTGATATTTTTTTGACGTCTGTCTCTCTTAAGTGCTTTCTGTAAAAAATTAGCGCCAGCTTTAATCGAAATAAGTTTTTTATCCACGAAAAGTTAGTTATCGTTTGGCATAAATGAATATTTGTGGGTTCAAGCCTGATTTGATGAATGCGATCCAAACTCAAGTTGCGTGCTGGAGATCAAATTAAATTAGCTGCTTATCAAACTTGCGCCATTCCTGAAGAGCTATTTGGGCACGTGAAAACATCAGTGACGTAATTGCAGTTTTGATAACTGCTCTTTCAAAATGTGACTATAAATTTGAGACGGCTCAATTAACCGAATAGTGCAAAAATGCTTAGATTGAGAGATGCTTTCATTTTTTCATCAATTTGTGTACTTGGCTGGATGTTTTTTGAAGTCTCCTAAGATTTTTTGACAATACATTTTAAAAGTAGCCTTTCCAGTGTATTTGAATTGTCGTGCAAAAATCTAGCTCGATTTTTCAAATGATGGAAAAATTACATGTGCAACCTTTTCATATCATTCAAAACCCTATCAAGAAAAATCGTATTTTTTTTAAATCTGAGTTTGAACCCTTTAACAAAGGCCTAATTGTCAGAATTCTGTTAAATTGGCATGTCTAAATACTAGCATCTGTTTGAAAGCGAGACTGCTCAATATATTAGCTCCTCTGTGTGTATTCTTCTTTAAGATAGTCAATCAAGAAGCTTATCTGCTCAGCTAAGTTTAAACTTCGCTATTTGGGAGAATTTTCTGGCAGAAGAGTTGAAGCTCGGTAAGCGAAATGTTACCCGAATTTTTCACGCGTTAGTTTTTTCATCTAATATTCATTTTGGTCTTATATAGTTTCAGCTTTCGCTCGAAAACATTACCATATCAAATGTAGTTAACAACTTGAATTGCATTCACTGTCCTTTTTGTTTTAAACTAAGACACTGTTTTTTTTTCGATTTGGTTAGATAATTAACTTTTTTACTGAAATTAACAGCGGAATAACTGCTGAAGTTAGTGAATATACAAAACAGCACCAATTGTTTTTTGCGAATTAAATTTCTTTGTTATAAATTTAGTTTTTGAAGAATTGCTGAATTCCACCAATTTACTAAATTTTTTGTGCATGAGATGTTTTATATCTTCATAATTTTTGTTGGTGCTTAACCTAAGGAGTGGTCTAAATTTTGAAGCGACCAAAACAAAAGTATCTGTTGTATATTTAAGACGCCGTCGAAGTATTCGCACCATTAACTTGCTAATTTATCGCCAAAAATGGTAAAAACAATAAAATGAATGTTACGAACGTGAATAAGTTTTAAATATTCCATCTCTTTTAAATTAAATGCAGTTTTCATTTCACGTGATTTAAAAATAGAACTGTTTATGCTTGCACCGATAAAAATGGTAAGTTAGAAAAATCTTTCTTGAGAATTTTTCTACCCATTACAAAAATTTCGCTTCGTTTTTTACACAATTACGACGTTTTGAAGATTTTTTGCACCTTGTAATAACTTTTAATAATTTTCTCCATCATTCGATTTCGTTTTTTTAGCTTTGAAAGAAAATTATTATGGAAAACTAAAAAAAAATTATAAAAATATAATTTTCTTTCAGAAAAGTGAGTAGCACCGGAACATCTGAGCTCGATCGACAAGCCCAGCAGAACCAGGTCCGAATCCAGTCTATTCTATCCAACCCAATTCCAAACAACAACAGCAATAACCCAAACAGCAGTCCCTACCCCCAGAACAAGACCAGTGTATCGGGTGATTCTCCGGCATCTCAGTTGTACAATTTTCCCTCCTCGGGTTCCAGTGGTATTTCGACGACATTCGCCACCTGCCCGGCCAGTGTACCGCCACTGATGTTTCCGAGGTAAGTTGGAAGTCAGAGTCGAATTATGATCATATCAGAAATGTCTGAAAACGTACAATTTTAAAGCGGTGCAATCAAACACTGGATTATTTGATTAGTTTCATATTGTTATAGCTTTAATTATTATGTCAACTTATTGTAATTTTTTGGTATCTATCATGTTGTTTACATTCGAGTGGTTTTTCTTTGAATCTTTAAACTATTCTTTTTGAATTAGAATGCGAGCGAAGCATCGATGAATCTAATGTCACTATATGCGACCACAAGATGACCCAACGTGTGCCGATAGCCGGAATCTTCTGAAATTAATCGATAAATAAACAAAGCACCCAGAAGATTGCAACTACCTAAACGCACTGGATCACCTTGTGATCAGATGTAATAACAATGTACTGTAATTTCAATCCAGACTCTGGTTATGATTGTGATTTGATTGGCAGGTGTTCGAATGAGGGTGACGTGGGGGTGGTTGAGTTGGCGAGGAGGGAGTCGCAGCACTTTCTCCACAACACAGACATCATTGTCAGTCAGAGGGATGAGATGCGACAGCTGTCCAAGGATCTAGTCAGCCAGGTCAGCTAATCAGTTAATTTACGCGGAGCAGAGAATACCAAATATACACATAAAGGAGCAGCCTGCGATTACAAAACGCGTTTTTATTAATTTAGAACAACAAAAGTCCTCAGAAAAAATTAAAATGAAAGTATTTGATAAAAACAAACATTTTTTGGGGGTAGTTAAAATGTTTTTGACAAATTTTTGTAGATATCATTCTTGCTGCATCGACATTACATATTTTTGCTGCAGCTTTTTCGTTTTAATCTTGCTTCTACTGTTTCCAAAAAACTAATTAATGTTGCTTACTGTTTCCTTTTAGGCCAAAGACGCGGCAGAAAAACTGGAGAAGACGCAGGCTTCCTTGCGCACTTTCTACTCCACCCTGGGCAAGATGGCAGACCACTTTGGCAGGTCATACACTGGCAACAGAGAGATAGGCCAGGAACTCATTCGGCTTACTGCCAGGTAAAAGAGAGAGAAACAGAACTTAATCACTGAGAATTTGACTGGAACAGTTGAATTGTTCCACAAAATTAGATTTTTGAACGGTTTTTTTGAGTTTTTTTTCAAAATTTCAACTGGCGAAAAAATACCACCGAATTTCATCTCATATATAGGTTTTTTGCTTAACGGCCATCGCCTCTCAAAAGTTTTAGTTAAAACCATTGGTAAAATTTTAGTTTCAAATCGTAATTATGAAGCCATTATCAGAGGATGATCATTTCTTTTCGTTCTACAAGTTCTCCATAAACGAAGTAGCTGTTTTTACAGACACAAAGAGGCATGTGACATTCTGAATGACGTCACCACAGCCTTCAGACGCTTCTCCGGACACACAGCCGCCTCATCATCCAGATCCGGAAGTCCCGCGGATTCCTCTGGACATAATGTAAGTGTACTTAAAACGACACTGCGTTCTATGGACGATTTTTTGAAAATGAAAATCGATCAGAACGTGAATTTGATTTGCAAGCTTCATAACTGAGGATTTGAGGAATTTCGGAAATGCTGCAAAAAAAATTAGATATGAATTGTCTGAGATTTTATCGAAAAAAGCGAATTAATCAACACAGTGAATTCTTTTTTATAGTGCATCTGTCAATATAATGTCATTTAAAATATTTTACAAATTATCGAATGATTGTGAAATATTTTTAAAAAAAATAGTGCTGTACCGTGTCGAGATGTTCTTCTTTTCAGGCCAGTGTGATAGACCGGGTGTCTAAGCAGTTCCAGAAGGAGTGTGAGAGTGCGCGGAAGGAGAATGAGGAGCTGAAGAAGAGTATGGAGGACATGGGACATAAGTATGGAAGCAGCATCCAGAGTGGCAGGAAACTCAGCACTGGCAAAGGTCAGAGAAACACTATTTTGAATCTTAAATATTTTTTTTTTTGAAAAAAAAAATAGCCGGTTGTTGTGCAAGTAGCATAATGTTCCCTCCACATTGATTTAATATAAGAAATTCAAAAACAAATCGATAAGTTTGAAATCCAAAAAAAAAGTTTTTAAAGAAATTTTTTGCCGAATGTTTTTGTTATTTTCTTAGACAGAGTTCTTAGGTAAAAAGTGATCGAATGAGTGGCAAAGAGCAATAACCAAAATAATAATAAAATAGTGAAATGAAATATGGAGGTCAGCCTCTGATCACATTCTTCTGTCATCCTTTGTTTAATTTAGCTCTTGCAAAACGACAAAAACTGAGTCCAGCTTTTCCCAACACCGAGGTAATTTTTAAATGCCGATGAACGTAGTTCAGACTATTATATAGGTCGTGATGATTTGTCGTTTTTTTTCAGCAAAAATCTTAAAATTTGTTATGGCTCAATTTTATTATTTTTTTTTGCGGTTTGACTTCAAGTTTATTTTTAAGTTAAGTGCCTTTCAATTGTTAAGAGGAAGGCAAACTCCACTTGTGAACAGCGAAAGTGTAAAGGTCAAGACGTGATTGAGTTCTAGTTTCGAAAGTGGAATTTAGTTTTCAGTTTTACCTGCGAAATTTACTTATTTATCTAATTTTCTCAAATTGGGTTAATTTTTCAAAAATTAACTACAAATTCAAAGAGCCTTAAGGCATCTATTTTTTCTTTGAATTTCGAAAGTTGAGTTTTTTCAAAAAAAAAACAAGTCAGTATATTCTGTTTACTTGCGTTCATTGCCTCTTTTCCGACTGTCTGTTGGCTATGTTTTTTTTCGAATCCGAACAACAACAACTAATAGGATCTTAAAATGATACCGCACTTGACACTCTTCACACAAGCCAGCTTTAGCGACCGTAGTATAAAAGTACGATTATTCTTCTTCCCCATGTTAAGTTACCTATATTGGTGCCACTTTTGGTGGCACCTCTAAGGCTTGTGATAGTATGTGCTTTGACATTCGATTAGTAAATGTTAAAACAGTTGATGCAATTTCAATTCAGCAAATGAACCGAAAAAAGTTTTTAGTTTCAAACAACAATGCAATAAAAAATTCCATTTCAGAAAAATTCCAACTTTATATATCTCGGAATTTGAAATGCATAATTAAGACATAAGTTGGCTCAGTGACTTCTAATTTATTACATGCAAAGATAGTGTGAAGACGTCTTCAAGTTATTATATTTATTACATGAAAATTCTATGTCTATTTGTATTTTGTGGCACATCTGAAGAGTCGACGAAGGTAGTTCATACTCTTGTATAGGTCGCAATGGTTTTTTTTTTACTTTTTCGCGGTTTGATTTTTGATTTGTTTGAAGTTCAGTTCATTGCTTTTCTTAAAGCCAACAAAAAAGGGCACAAAAAACGTGATTACGTGATTAACTTCTAATTTCGAAAATGGAATTTAATTATCAAATTTCCCAGCGAAACAAAAATTTTAACTTATGATCCACTTTTCGCAAATTGGGTTAGTTTTATCGAAAATTGTCACTCAAAAATTATTTTACTAATTCAAAGAAATTTAAAACCATCTATTTTTTCTTGGAAATTTTTATTTTGAGATTTTTGTGGTGCAGATGCGAGAACGTGCGTTGCCAAATCTTCTGTTTGTATGATCGAGTCCACCGCCGCAAAAGTTTTAATTTTAAAGGCTTTTTGCCAATCTTCTGAGCCGGATTATTTCGCTGCCGACGCTACACATTGATAGAAAATTGCCAAGAAGTTATTATGCGGAATAGGCATTTTTACAGTCCTTTGGAGTTAAAGTATCTGTTCATCTTTGAGCTCAATGGATCAATATGTTTTTAGACTGTCTAAATAAATCCGTCAAAAAGTGTTAGTTGAAAAGTCGAAATTTGTCTGGAGAAACTAGAAGTTTTTGAAAAAAAAACGAGCGCAAGCATACATGTTCATCATTTTTTTTCCCCAAAAAATAGAACAAAAAAACTTAAAAAATATATTCAGAACTAGCAAAGGTGAGAGAAGTTTAACTCGAGTTTTCGTAAAATTATAAATGAAAAAAAGATATGAAATCAGTGAGCATTTCCTCGAAAACACTGTTTTTTGGCCGAACATTGTCTATGAAAGGGCTTCAATCAGGCGGAGAATTGGCTCAAACTTTCAAAAATATTCTGCATATGTTAGTTCGGATGTGTTTCTTCTCTCGCATATCGTAGCGCGTAAAAGGCTTTAAAGTCATCATGTCTTAATTGAAAAAGAAAAGAAAGCTAGAAGTTTTTAAGTGTAAAATTTGTTTGTTATATAATTTAAAATATAATTTTTTGTCTAAATTTTTGATAAGTTTTACCAATTTGTTTTAGTGAAACGAATGGATGCCAACGAAACCAACAAATACCTCAACAAAGCCTCGCGGTCCAAAGAACTCTTCATCTCTTCACTTATGCAACAGCGCAAATTCATGTGTGTATTCTGCGCTTCAGTCTGCGGAATTGTAGATCACGAGTTACGAATGGCCGAAAAGTTGTCGGGATGCGAGTCAATTTATTGCAACCTTGTTAAAAACATTACACACATAGACAGATTACCAGAAAATGCGATAAACGATATTAAAGTTGCGGGACAAGTCAGTAGTACAGATGTCGTGTTCAAGTCGGCATCAGCAGTTCCGGGGGTGAATGGCGTTGTCGGGTCGACGAGCGCGGCGTCGGCGACAGATCCAAATGGTGTTCCGGCGACAGTGACGCAATATGATTCGATCAGTCAGACGAGTTCGCTCGGGTCGAGTAGCACCAGTCTGTCTACCAATGGAAGCACAGATTCGCCTAACGGAACGTCGGCTTCGTTGACTGACTCAGGTAATTCAAGAGCTTTGCAAAGCCCGTTTTTCATGAAATCATCAAACATTAAACGTACACGTGTTTTTGAAGACTTTTCATGTATTCATTATTAATATAGATAGTTTTTTCTCATGAAAATGGAAACACTGAACTAGAATGCCGTCGAATTTTGAGCAGAGATTCAAAAAGTTTGTTCAGCGAAACTAATATCATTTAAATCAGCCTTTTTTGAGAATTGTCGAAAACGATAATGAAAAATTTTTGATATGTTTTTTTTGTGAATTTCAGGTTTCCCATCTTCCCGAGAAAGTTCTCACGACGATCCAGACTACCGGGACCCTTCTGCATACTTCCCCACCACGCGCTCCTCAGCCACCGGAAACAACCAAACTGGAACTATGAGAGCATCCGGCACAGCTGCGATGCAAAATATCCACCCTTCCATGACTCTAAACGTCCAGATGGGATCTCAACTTAGTACTAGTCAGTCGAAGTTGTTTAATGTCCCAGCACCCCCACCCAGAAGGGGGTCAGTTTGCCAACCCCAGTTTGGAATTCAGTCAAATGGGGGAGGGGCGAGGGGGAGCGCAGAGAGGATTGCATCAGGAGTTCAGCCGGGGTCAAATGGCGAAATTGACAGTCAACAGGTACAAGCGCTTGAAATTGATGACCATTTTGTTTAAAAATTTTCGAAATGGCGATCTCAACAACGTTGTTTTAAACGTGAATTAGTTTAAAATGTTTTAACTTTAAAGTCTTTGAAAACAATTTTAGCTTTCGTTTTTTACAGGTTGTTAACAATCATTTGATTTTTAAGAGTAATGAACACAGTGAAGACTCTTTTATAGGTCTTGCTCAGTAGTCTTAAAACATTGATGCACTTAGATATAATGCACTTTTTGAGTTCAATTGAAATTCATCTGCTGAAATGACGTAAATAGCACTCTCCAAATACGAACGTGGAAATGGCGCAAAAAAACGCGACCGATTTCTAGTTTCGAAAGTGGAATTAATTTTCAAGATTTCCCAGCGGAATAAAAACTTTACCTATTGATCCAGTTTTCTCAAAATGAGTTCATGTTATCAAAAAAGCGCCAGTCATAAATTGTTTTAGAAATTCAAAGAGCTTATAGGGCATCTATTTTTTTTTGAAGTTCGAAGGTCAGATTTTTTCAAGAAAGTCAGTGTTTTTTAATGTTTACTTGCGTTCATTACTCTTTTCCAATCTTCAATTGGCTATTTTTTTTCTATCTTAACAAATTAAAAACCTCTAAATTACTAAATTTATAGCTTTGCAACGAAAAGTTTTCTTCTTTTTTAGAGTTCTCATTGAATAAAAATGTTTTACGATAACTATATCAAAAAATGAACTTCTGAACTGGTTGTAAAAGTTCCGTTTTTTATTCAGTTCGACGCAGTCCAAAGATCCTCGTGTCATTTCCAAAATGCCAGCAAACCAAACTTCACTCCGGAATCCAACCATACGACCAATACTAGCACCACCAATAACAGCTCGTGTTCCTCCAGTATAATGAGACCCTACTCAACCTCTTCATCTTCTCTTGGGGTCAGTGGGGGGATTGGCAGCAGTGTGTGTTCTGTGAGTCAACATCAACAGCAGAGAATGAGTCATCCCGTGTTGCCGTCTAATATGACGTCATCGAACAACTGCAGCAGAATGGGGTATGAGCAAGATACCAAAGTAAAATTTTTTGTTTAGACCACGATTTCAAAGCATTTTTTCTAATTTTGACTGATACTGTTTAGCTCTTCCTCCCCTAGATCACCCGGATCAGAATCTGTCCCTGGATACCACTCGTACTCCTCTTCGTCCGGGGACTCCACCACCGGATGTAGTTCCGAAGACATCTGGGTGCCACGGGAAGACCTCAATGTCGCCCGCAATGAGTCGCCCCAATCTTGCATCAGCAAGTCTCAAAGCAGTTCGACTGATACCTTAGAAGCAACGGACTCCCCCTCTCAAGGTCGAAGACACCGCATGTCAAGTGACCAAATCGGTGTTAGCGACTCGTTGAGTTCCTCCACCGATACCCTCGACGACCCGACTTCCTCGCCGAACAAATTCGTATCCTCTTCGTCAAACGCATTCGGCCCCACGATGTTATGTAACTACACTAGATCGCCGGGTCGAAGTGTCCCTCACTCGAACACGACTCACAACTTCGGCACTCCAATTCACGAATCGTCGGTATCCAACCCGATTTATGAACGAGGTGTTTCGGCTGACCCTACAACAATGTCTAGTCTATCTGAACCATCGTCATCACATTTTGTTCAACATCCACAGAAAGAGTTCGTTTCCGACGTCTGCTTGAAGAGCGGAAATAGCTCGGATAACGAGCAAAATTATACAACGATAAAACGAAGTCCGAAATCTTCGGCTTCGGTCGAAAGTTCCGAGCTAGAGTTAATTGAAAAACCGAAAAACGAAGTGAAAATGAATGATGAGCAAGGTAGATCGGGAGAATCGAATGTTAAACACTTCGAAGATAGTTTTACGGACGCAGAAGCTAGTGATTTTATGAAGCAGCTTAGAATGAGAAGACAGAATCTGAACGCAGTTGATAAAGATAGTCTTCCATTCTGGGATAAAGATGGGGAAAAAGAAGAAACGTCAGCTGAAAAATGACATCTAAACCGGTGTAGATCAAACAATTTCTCTAAGATTGGTTTACGCTAAATGTTATTTTTCTTTGTCTAATAGTTTCTGGAATTTTTTCATTCTACTTTGTTCAAGTTGTTAATTAATATTCGAAATTGATTAAACAAATTTTAGGTTACAAGTTTAAGTTTTTTATAATGTTAGCTTATATCGATTTAAATTTATGATGCTATCTTTCTTGTTGAAAAGTTCAAATTTTGTCTCCATTAACATGTCGTTAATGTACGAGATTTATTCTTGCCAATTTTATGGGAAGGAAATTTTCCTGACAGTTCTTCCCGTGACATTGGGAAGCGATTTGATATTTAAAAAATGTCGTGATCTGATGTAGATTTTAATGATAATAATTTGCCCAATAATATTTTTTGCACAAAAAATATTTATCGCCGACTGTAATTTCCTTAGATTGCTGAGAAAGTTCTCAAAGTGATGTTTGTAATTGAAAATTGGGACGGCTTTTGCTCAAAGGTCTTCAAAGCGAAATAATTAAATTTTTATGGTTTTCTCTTTGTTATTAATAAGGATCCGCAGAGTTCGTTTCTCTAATTTCCAGACAGTTGTTATGTTGAGCGAAGGTTCTTTTTGTGACTCAAGGCCGTTTTTTTGCACCTAGAAGTTCCATGAACGCCCTACCACTATTCAAATGCCTCCATTAGGAATTTTATCGAGCACCTGTATCCTTGTTTCCATTCGTTTTGACACTCAGGGGTGGATCAAGATTTTCTCGAGAGGAGGGGAGTGTCAAAATATTTCAAAACTTACTTCGAGTAAATTGATTTTCCGAGCTCTCCCAAGTCACTACAAAGACCCGATTTTGACCAAATTGTTGGCGCCGCGAGCGAGTTATTAAAAAAAAACAGGCCAAAAAAGTTGTTTTAGACACATTTTAGACGTAGTTGACCGAATTTAGCTTTTTTTGGCGCCCCACGCCCTGGACCGTAGTTTATGGTGCCAAAGGCGCCTTAAGAAAAATTTTAGGATTGGTCGGCCAAATTTAGATGTCCTAAAATAGTGTCGTCTGGGTCCAATCCTTAGCGGAGGATGGCGGGGAGAGAGATGGAAGAAATCAATGCCTCGAGACGCCATCCTAAAGCTATTTAAGTTTTGCTTCGGATTTCAACAAAAAACTTTAAAAAATTTAACCCGAGAATGATTACTCTATGACAATTTTAAAAAGATTGAAACTTATTCACACTCATAATATTTTGACAAAATTAAGAGCGAAAATGTTACAAAACTTGAACTTTGACTTGACAAATTGATTTTAGTTTATAGATTTTCTATGGAGTTAAAGTTTAGCAATTGATCCTCTTTTGGCACAAATGCTTTTTTGGGACCTTTTAGCAAACAATCCTCAATCATTCAAAATATGAAAATAAAAGTGCGCTAAGCTGTTTTTGTAAACGCTTAAAAATTGTCAGCGGTTTTCCGTTTTTAATGTGTATTTTTGTCTCTTCTAGAACTCAATGTTTTCACTGAATATTTGCTAATCTGATTTGTTATTTATTCAATTTCAGCGTCTGAATTTAATCATTTGGAGCCGAGATGACGCCGTTGCCCGGGACTACGAATGTCCCGGGTTCGAATTCGGCCAATAACAACTTTTTGAAATTTTTCCACTGAAAATATATTTTTTTCGAACTTGAGAATGGCTGCTTGAATTTTACGTCTTAGTTACCACAGCAGGGAAAATTCTTGTACTAAAGGACTTTTTCACTAAATCCTCCTGATTTTTTAAATACTGGTGCGGCTAAATGATTTCCAATAAATTGTGCTGATTCATTTTTAAAGGTTAAATGCTATGATTCATTGTTTTCACACATTCGAGCTTTGGGAAGGTATGGTATTATTATGACTCTAATTTTTTCACAACCTATCTGGAAAGTTAAAGAGTTCATTAGGTGACATTTTTTTGTAATCAGTAGCTATATCCCTGAAAGTTTCGTAGCATTTTTCTGCTGTATTGGTGGCTGCCGGTTAGCCTTAAGCGAGCGTTTGTGGTCAGAGGGAATGACATGAGAATCCCAAGCTAATTGTCGGAGTTTCGACGCCACGCTTGCCCCTAGCTTTTAACAATTAAACTAGATTATTTATACTTAATATTTATTGACAATTTTGTCAATTGATTAGCATCTATAGTTGCATCATTGATAACTAGTGTTGAAAAAGAAAAAGAAGTAATCAATAAAGAACGGTTTTAAATTTTACTTTTGCTGTTATCAACTTTTGAAATTTTTGGTTATAACTGACTGAAAAATTTATTAAATTTTTGCCAGGTAAAAGTTGGTCATTTTTATTCGCAAAAAAATCTAAAACAAACTCAAACCTCAACAAGTAGTTTTTGTTTTGATAAGAAATTTGCAGCTTTCCCCGTCATTGTAATAAGTGAATACCTCAAATGGAAGCGAATGGCGATTCATATTGATGACGTGGTGAGGCTACGCATCGAGTTCTTTCTTGGCAGAAAAGTGATGCATTAAAAAAAAGCAAATCAAAGCAATCTTTCGCTTTTATAATTTTTTTTACTGGAATTCAATTTAAAAGCTTCCTCACGCTTTAGTTTTGCGGCCAGATATTTTGTCTTCATTTGTTCACGATGCAAAACCATCTTTTCGGGTTTCCACTATCTTTAAAATTCCGATAACTTGGTTCTCGAGTTTACCTCAGTAGAGTTTTAGACTGAATTTTAACTGCATTTTAAATATACTTATCTTGAACTATTGTAAAAGAAAAGTTGATATTTTCATCGTAACATCTGTTAAAACTTGGGAATGGTAAGTGTACAGGAATAAAGTGTAAAAATTTAATTTTCCAGAAATTTTCTGAACAAAAAACCAATTGACTTTGTTGTAAGCATCTATTTTTAATTAGAACTAAACGGAACGTTTCTAGCAATTCTTAGATATCGTCTTTGGCTCCAGATATGAAATGTACGAAAAATGATTTTAAATTCAGCTAAGTAATTTGACTGAAAATCAGGAATAACTAGAAAAGGATAAAACTTGATATTATGAATCGATGTGTTAATTGAAAACGTCAACTGGAAGCGATTGACTCGTTCTCGTTGAGGATTCAATTTGCTGATGTGACGAGACAGATGGTCAGCAAGGAAGTTGAGGTGTGTGGTTCTCTTTTCCTCAGAAATCAATTTTGAATCGAATTGTGACCTTAATTGAGAGGCTTTGATCTATCTGCTCAGCAATCTGAAATGCGTACCTTGTTGCAGTTATACGAACCTTCAACCAAAGTATTTGACAAAATTGTATTGTTCTGTGATGTTGATCCACCTTGCTGCAGAATCGACTGAAAATTTCATTCTGTTCGGTTAAGATGTTTTTGTCTTTGTTCACGATGCATTTGTTCACGATGCAAAACCATTTTTTTTGGGTTCCACATTATCTACAAAATTCTGATAACTTCTTTCTCGAGTTTGTCTCTGATTTAGGTGTCTTTGGTTTTTCCATTTTATTCATCTCAGTGGAATCCGTAATGATTTATGGTTATTTAAAACTAACAATTTTAAACTGAAATTTAAATTGCCGTATTGATAATTTTGTTCAAGCAGTTATTGTGCAACATATTGAGTTAGGACTGGAGTGTATAACTCATAGAGTAATTTCGGATAGGGTACACCGTCTGCTCGTCACGCTATCTTATTTTCGGCCGGATAGATTCGTGCAACTTCTTAGTCTAATACCGATCCTAATCTTACTCTTATACTATCTAGTCTCAGGTTGTTTAACTAGTCTCTGCTAGGCTCAATAGATCTAGGGTATACTGGTTTATTGCGGCTGCTGAAGTGCTCGGGAGAGTCCAACTAATTTCTAAGTTAAATTCAAATCTCTCTGGTGCTGAAATTACAAGTAACTTCAGCACTTACAAATAAGTGGGTTGTTAGTTAGATGGATCATGATTGGTTAATATTAAATACTTTACATTGGTAAAATATCTAATTTATCCAATCATAAAATGTAGTTTAGATCAGGTTCCACCCATCCGGGTTTTACAGAGTTTTTTTAGAATAGTTCTTCTGCAATTTGAAGGATGGATGATGGACGTTGGTTTTTGGCGAACATCATTTTCTTCCGTTTCCTCTTTGTTAAAGAAGTTCCAGGAAGCTGGAGTTAGAGACATAAGACGTTGTGTCTTCTAGTGACAACGATTAAGTCTTTGCAACAAACTCAAATCTGATTTCAGAATGGTTGGCTATGTCAGGTTTTTCTGTTCTGCGTGGAGAACTTCTTTTGTGTCTGATCTAGTTTGGGAATGGCGTGGAGATTGTGCGTGGAGGGGATGCCTGGTTACTCGGATCTGTACGTATACTTGAACATCGAGGTGGTCATTGGTCTAGTTCAATGAAGTCCTTTTCTGCGAAGTCAAGTCGTACTCTAAATCCTTTGAGTTGTGATTGTGAGTGGCATATCGATTGTGGTTGGTCATTCTCTCTCGAGTGTAGTGGGGTCGTTTTGTCTTTAGATGTTCGTCCTTGGTGTTGTATTCTGATCTATGTATTGCATAATGTAATTTACATTTTATAAAACATTTATTAGTTTAATATTTTTTAATTATGATTTTAGTTAGTTGTTTTCACAAAAGCTTTTTGTTTTAGTTCGGTTATTTTGAAGAGTTACTCACCCTTGAGTAGCTCTTATTAAAAATAGAGGTGTGGTCACAAAGCGTGGATGTAGCGCGGTGGGTTAGGCCGGCTATAGAGCATGCTCAGGACGTCCTTCCTGGTGGGTTAGGCCAGGAGTGGGAGTATGATTTCATGCGGTTTTTGTGAGGGGTCCTGTTATGTGACAACGTTTTATGTTGGGTTTGTTGTGGTTTTTCTTATGTCTTGTTGGTTATGTCCTTTTTCCAAAAAGCAAATTGTTCGTGGTATGGGTTTGTCTTTCGACTTTTTTGTGTTTTATTATTTCTTTCTTAGACTTTATAATAGTCTTCAAAAGAATAAATTATCCAGTTTTAAACTGGGTTAATCCGGTTTGGGTACCGTTGGTTTCCTTTTCTTAGTCATGCTGTTATTCTATGATTTGTGGTATTTAGTAAGCTGCGTTGGTTAGTTTTGTTTAGTAAATGATTCCTTTCCAACCGGGTTAAAGGAAGGTTTGAAACATGTTATTATATGTTAGAGTTGTTGAGTGTGAAAACTTGAAACTGAAATTCATTATTTTAAACAATTCTTCGTGGGCGAGCTGTGCGAGTGTGGATAGAATTTCTGTGCGAATGAATGAAAATATCAAAAGGTTAGTACTGCATTTGCATTTTATTAATTTACTGCATAGAATTTGGAAATTTACTGCTAGTTATGGGGGAATTTTAAGTTACAAATTTTCATCATAATTAGATTTACTGCTTGTGGGGAAAATTTTAGAAATGAATTTACTGCATTGGTATTAAATTTATAAATTTATAAGTGTAAGAGATTAATAGAATTTTTGAAATCTGTTTGATGAAATTTGCGATTTTTATTTGTCTTTTGTGGTTTTTGTAGGTGATTG